TTTTGAACCCAAACCCCGTGAACTAATATAATGTACAATGCATTACCGTCAAATATGAGTCATTCCAGCAATTTGAGCGCAGGCAATCCAAAAAAAATAACCACCCAAATATCAACTGATACGATTTCAAAACACGTGCAAAACTGACAACGTACTAGCGAATAAAAATGTGACTCATTGTTTTCGTTTTTAGTACTTGCGTCCTTAAAGGACAGAATGTCATTAATTTCTTTTTACTAAACAATTTTCTAGACCTTCTTCTGGTTCGACAGAATATGTAATTATAGTTTGATGGTACCCCATTGTAGTATGGTCAAAATATTGGAAACCATTTAAAAAAAAATTCTTAACTGCTGGACATACGCCTATTCCCTGTTCAAATTATTCCTCCGACCTCAACCGGGTGGATTTTGTTTCTGGGGGTTTATGAAAAATTTCATTTCAAGGTTCCAGTGACTAACATTTACAAGAATAAACTGTAGAAGGTAGAGGAGTATTTCATGCTAAAATCACAAAATTTTCAGCATATTCGGTAATTTTTTATTAAAAGAGCGCAATGGGCTCATTCAGTAATTTTTTTTTTATTTGCTTAACGGAAAGATATTGCAATTTTAAGGTTCTCTGCAAAAAACTAGAATTTTATATCGCCTACAAGTCATCCAAAAAAATCATAAACTGGCGCGCTAAATGTCCGCTGAACCGGCGGGTGTGACGTCACCGCATGGGAAACTGCTGACGCATGCTTGCTTGTGTCAGTCAGTCAGTCAGTCGGGTAGTCGGGTTTTAGTTTACTGTTAAGTTTCGATTGAGTACGTTAATATACCGAATTTTGTTAGCAATATAGAAGACACACAACAGAAAAAAAAATGTTACAAATATTGAATTGTTCCCCTGCGTGAGAGCACTGGTGTGAAGACACCTAAGAAAATAATAACGTCTCCGTAATTCTGTCGTGCAAATCTAAAATCAATAGTCTACTAGTCTCTACTTTGATTTGTTTTTTTTTAATATAGTTTATTTGAAAAATGACTTATTCTGAAAGCAACGAAACTACCCTGCGTAATTTAGGTATGTTATAAATACGTTTGTATCGTGTATCCTCTAGAAACACTATAAACTTGTGTTTTCCATTGTTGATTTTTTTGTGAATATTATACAATTACCTATAGGTACTAAATATAAGTAAAAATACATAATAAATATTATATTATTACAATATTTATAAGATTTTATTAGGTATATTCTATGTAGTTTCCATGAGAATAAAAATAGTAATAAGAATTTTGTNGGTATGTGTAGGTTGATTACGGCTACATTTTAAAAATATTTTGAAATATACAGGGTGTCCAGGAAAAGCGTACCATATCAAAGTTATGTATTTTTAAATGGAACACCCTGTATTTTACTGCATTTTTTAAAGCACCGTAAAAACATAGGTGAACTTTATTAAAGATTCTGCATACCTAGGACTTACAGTTTGTGAGATATTTCAATTTTAGTGAAAATGCAGGCATAGTATAGAAACTTAATATTAGCAATAAAAAAATAATTTTAAGGAAGCAGGTTTGGAGGGTCTATTTTAGATCCTTGATGTTATAAATTGTTATATTTGTCGTCACTTAGTATTATACAGGGTGTTCAAAAAAACTGCTGAATACTTCTCTCAACTTTTAACGGTAATAACTTGGTTATTTTAAATGGGACACCCAGTACATCTTTATTTTGGGAGTTAGGAAATTTAAAACTCTTTCAAACTGTGTATAGGTTCCCTATACCTATCTCTAACGGTATTGGAGATATTTGTGACGTTTCCTTTTTATCGAATTTTTTTGTAAGATGTATCCACGTGTCTTTATCGAAGTCTTTATTGAATTGGTTTGGGTTCTTCTTGATGACGTCTCTTTAAATATATTGAGAAAAATGAGGATGCAATTAGATGGCGCAGGATGTTCCATTTAAAAATACATAACTTTGACATGGTCCGCTTTTCCTGGACACCCTGTATATTTCAAAATATTTTTAAAATGTAGCCGTAATCAACCTACACATACCCACCTAAACAGGTTTCTATAACATTTGCCGTTTGGTACCTAGCGACCAAGGCGTTACTGGTGGCCCACCCTGTATAAGATCAGGTAAATCTTTGAAACCTGTGACTGAAGCGGTTTCGTCCAATTAAACGTAAATCCTTATTCTTATTTACTATTTTTGTTGTACAAACACATCAAAACTTTCGCTACAAACGTACTTTATAGAAGCTTTACACGTTATTGAAACGTACCTTTGCATTTTCACTCCTCTCATCTCAGCACTGATAATGTCGTAGTTTTTATTTAAAAAAACCATAACCATTAACAAACCTACTTCTGGCAAATTAGAAGAACCTGCTTTTACGAAATTTGCTTCCATTTTTTAAATTTAATATGCACAAACGCTAAAACATTCTGCAGATGCAGAAACTCATCTGGAAGCAGCGTATACCGAGTTCCCATGCGGTGACGTCATTGCATTGCCACGGCTGAGACAAATATTCGCATTTTAAAAATCATAGTTTGAAAACCGTTCAACGGATTGAGTTGAAATTTTCAGGATCGCCTAATCATGAGCAATACTTTGTGTATTCAAAATAAGAACGTTTTTGAGAATTTACTGAATGCCCCATTGTACAATCATGGAAATGGTAGGCATATCGAACACCTATTTTAATGTTTTCAAGCTTCAATTATGTGCATTGGTGGTTAAATATTTTTTATTATTCGTTCTTATTTGCCATTTTATCATGTTACTGTGCTAAAGCGCATTAGAAAAGCGGTTTTTTATGGCTTGACTAAATTCGCCTTTTCCACGACTTTCAGATGCTCAATGGCACCGTTACCAGACCGGCAACGGAGCTCATTCTTTGTCTGAACGTCGAACGGTGAACATCGGCATGAACAACATTGCACAGGAGATACAATGAAGATCTCATGTTTTTGTTACCCTCACTGTGGACTATTTGCTTGATCTACTCATATCGCGGATGGGTTTGATCAAGCTGTACATGCGCTCGTAGAAAAAGTAATTATTTATTATATTTTATTAATTCCTTCCCACTCTCCCAATAGTATCTTTAGAGTTAGATAAGAAATTTGATACAGCCCTTGCACTGAAAGAAATGGACTTATTAAACTGTTTATCTAGAATAATGTGTATAGCGCATATTAAAACTTTTATAACCAATATACAACTTTTATTTAAAAAAAGCAATCATCTCCATACTCATTATTCAATGAGTTTAACTGGAAGGTGCTTAATACACCTTATGCATCTATGAAATAATGGTTATAATGAATTACTTATACATTATTAGGTGTTATAAACTTTATATTCCAATTGTATAGTAGGGAAGATTTCTTGTATAAAGGACCAGTATCCGAATTTGTATATAACAATTGTATTAACATAATTATGCGTTCTTATACTGAATATGTTTCTGTTTTCAACGTGTAAAACGCGTCTTATAATGGTTAAGGGATCGTCACCTCTCGGTGCACAATCGGTTATGATCGTAAAATTTCCGACAGTCCGCTGTGCATCGACTTACGACTGTTACACGTCTAGTTTGATGAAAATGGGCAGTATATGCACATGTTTTGTGGGATACATGATCATATCGCGTTGTGTGAAATGGAAAATTATGTAAGTATCTAACTGTTTTATGGCTTGTAATTGTTTTGTTTTTTCAAATGTAAATCTTGTCTAAATCTTAAAAATTATTATTTTGTGGGTCCTATTAGAATCCGCTGATGTTATGTTTTACATAAGATGGAGGAACAGAAGGTTAACGGTGAAAAAGAAGAGCATGGGTATAAAGTCAATCAACCAGAGGAAATAGACTTAGTTGAAAAGAAGCTCAACCTTTCAAGGGATGCTTCATTCTTAAGGTGGAAGAGTTATAGTGCAAATTCTCTTGTAATAAAAGAAAATACGGGTGCATCGTTGCTAAGAAAATAAACTGGACAGTTTTGGGAGCGATTTGTCATCATTTCTAATACTTAAATGTTTGTTATATGTTTACATTAGAACCTTAGCTTGTAATTACAGTTATACAATAAAATGTCTGAAAACTTAAAGTCATATGTTTTTAACTCATACAGAGTATACAACAGTTTAATACATTTATTATTATAAAACTTATAACCAGTACTAGATGTACTAATAACGATATGGAACACTTTAAGAACAGTTATTGATATTATTTCGTAAAGGGTATAAAAAACGTTGTATATTAGTTATACAATAATTTAATAAAGAATAAGGTTTATACTCACTATACAACTGTGCTAGCAGTACACGTTTTATATCCAATCTGTTTAACTGTCACATATAGTATACAATGGTCTTATAATGGCATATATAATTCTAATAAAGAATAAAACGCATTTCTTTCAGTGTGTCAATAACTAAAAGAGGCTTCCTTAAGAATTACAATTCTTAAGCCTAGTCTAATACAAACTGAAGATTCCCATCACATAACTAAAGAGATAGCTATAATTTCTGAAATCAAGCTTTGAGCTAAAATTTTACAAGAGCGAAAAAAAATAGGGAAATGACAATGACCTTCATTTACTCTTCGATTTTTCTTATTGCTCAAAAGTGTGATGGTATAACCAAACGTGTGCCAAATATCAAATCAGTATGTTAGAAAACAAGGGAGCTATTAAAAATCTGTTTTTAAATATCGACTTTGACACCTCCATCTTGAAAACGGGGCGCCCATATTAAAAATGACATAATGAAGGTCCCATTATTTTCCGCTAAGTAATCTGTGGTTAACGGTAACTTGTAATACCCTGTATTAATTATACAAACCAAAGTGATTGGCGAATTTTCGCGTAGTTACTGAAAATGCATTTCTTGAGAAACTTGTATTATAGGTAGAAAAGAAAATGTCTCTCAGAGCTGCTTAACATTTACAAATTTACATTTAAGTAATCAAATGAAATAAATTACACCCTTACCTTGGAAGTACCGCTGTCTTTCAGTTTCAGATCGCCTTCTAGTAATAAATGTCGTTTCCTTTCGACGGGACAGTTCAGCATGGGCCTTGTTAAGTCAAGTTGGGTAAGCGATTTGTCTTTCTTCAAAATCTTTTCAATGTCATCGTCCTTTGATTCCTGAAACATTTTGGTATATCCGTTGACAAAATGTTAATGATAGCTGGGGGTGGTACACGACAAAGTATAATGTACAGCTACACGTGTTATTTAGCTACACATTTTCCTTTCAACACATTTTTTTAAGACGAGACTTCATTCAATAATTCATGAGAAATCTTGAGTTTGAAGGGAAGAAATCATATTTAATTTTACATATAAAATACACGCAAAGGCATCGAGTAGTAATATTAATGCAAATTGTGCACTACAAATAACAATTAGATGTACTCACGGGTATTATAATATTAATATGAACAATAATTATATGTATAAGTTTGCAGTTCAATATAAATTATGAATATGATTGATTTATTACTAAATATTGTGGTGTAGACATAATTTTTTTTGAGAATTTAGAAGAGTAGTTTTTCTTACAACTAAAAAGAATACTGTACTTTTAAATACTTAAGCATTTTTCAAAAAACGTGAAACGGGGTGACTTGATACTGCGTGGTCGATTTATATTATATAAATCGCAAGAAAAACATTTTACAAAAATCAATTACTCATATGTTTCCTACAGTTTTTGGAATCTGCAATGAATCCGATACATTTTTCTACTTCAGATAATACTTTGCTATTGAAATCCTTGAAACACAGCTCCATAGCTCTGTACCAGCGACATGAGTACCTACATAGATCTTGTGTATTTTTTAATGGAGAATCCGAATCCGCAGCCCAAAAACCGATTTTCTAGGGCATTTTTTAGTAAAAAGCTAAAATATCCCCTAAAATAGAGTGAAATATTGAGGATGAGGTAAATCTTTATAATGAAAAGCAGCAATGTGTAAATAGTTCAAGAAAACATTCGAAAACAATATTTTGAGCATTGGAAAGAAATATATGTAAGTTAAATCCACATCCTACCCTACAAGGGGGTTAATTCTACGCCTAAGGTCAAAGAACGGATTTTAGTGCAAAACAATGTGAAAAACCATAACCTTGCATTTTAAACTACCAAATAAATAAATGCAGGTTGATCGACAACATATCAAAAAAATATACCTAACTTATCCCTGAAATCCAAATTCGAAAATTCCTGAATAAAAGATTTCGGATGCAATATAGCGACTGTAAAAATCAGAAAAGCATTCAAAATTTGAAGATTATGGCTAAAAAAACTTGTTAATTGGTGATTTTCAAAGTCACGAATATAAGGTTTTATTTTGGAAATCCTTAAATCCAAAATGGCGGATTGAAAAGAAATTATTGACCACCCAAAAAATTGGAAATGTCTGAAAATGAGAAACAGTGTATTGTAACAAAAGCCGGAACGCGTGGTAGTTTATTTCTTAATTCTCGGAACGGATGGGCCAACTCAGACAGTAAAATATTTCGGTCAACATTAATTACTGAAAAGGATTTTCAAGTATGTTTAGCGTCGCTATAAAGTCGTCGAGAGACTAGTGCCTTTTGTCACCGTTAGTAATAAATTTGCAAAGCCGTCAGTTGACTTAGACCGTCGCTTCGGAGACATGTGTTATCAGGTATCTAGGAAAAAAATCGATATTTCTATTAACGCGCCAAACGCATTCGAAAGGACGTAGGGATTACAAGATATTTAAATAAGTTGTTAGGATGTGGTGAAAATAAATATAGATCAAATAGCTGGTTTTTAGGCGGATTTTCCAAGCTGTAAGAATAGATTAAATGAGATTGACTAATCCGTCCCGTATTGCTATACGGAGTCACAAGAGGAAGGTGTAGGCGTTTAGTCTCAAAATTATTTAGACAATTTTAAATTCAGTCAATTAGATAACTATTAACATAGTATAGTTATGCCAAAGCCTCCCGATATTCAGGGATCCAGCCAGTAAGATAAACAAAACTTCGGAACCCAAGAAATGGGCGTGTCGAAGCGCGGGTGGTGTCGAATTCCGGAAAGATCTCCGAAAAAGGCAGTTTCTACTTAGGTTCCACATTGGGCAGTCTACTTAGTTTTAAAGTCTCGGCTTAATTTAATAATAGATAAAGTCTTTTCAAATTTTGCTATGGATATCGCATTCCCTGAATCTCGGTACGCCGGCGCCGTCGAGTGTAAATGAATCTTTACGTTATCCTCACTATTTACCCTATTTTAGGGTATATTTCGTTTTATATCAGGAATTTTTGGATTCGGACTTCAGATTCGTAATAAGCGATTAAAAACCAGTGCTAACAAAATTATCTTCACTGTTTCATCCTATTTTAGAGGATATTTTAGCGTTTTACTAAATAGTGTCCTGGTAAATCGGTTTTTGAGCTACGGATTTTGATCAGCATAAAAAATACGTAAGACTTATGTACTCATATCTCTGGTACAGAACATTTACTTCTACAATTGGATTTAATGTTTACAAAGATGTACCGATCGCTAGAGTTACATTAATAATATTTAGAATACATGTATTGTGTACATAAGTTCCTATTTTAAAATTTATTTTAATTTTTCTTAAATTTGTCATATTCTAATGATAAAAAATGTAGTAGGTATTGCGTACTCTTTACACAGATACGTTCAATACAACACGGACATACTTTCACTTAATTAGACTTTATCATTTGTATCTATTCATTATTACATCAGCTCCTTGTATATTTAAGGAAATTAAATCATATCTCAACACTTCCTAATTTAAATCAGTAATTAATACCATTTATGAAATTTACACCCTCAAAAGCCGGAGCTCAATACTCTCCAAGCGATGAGTAGGAGTCTCAGATGAATTATTAACTTCAGAGAAATGGAAAGCGCTAAAGGGATTTTGACCATTAAACGTAGAATTAACTATGTATGATCGTTGAAGTTTAAATCAGGAACCGGAAATAGCATGGTTTCATACGAGAATAAGATTAACCGAATGCAGTGGTGTCTTATTTTATTTTTAGAAAAGGGACAGATAGAAATTTATAGTTCAAAACAATGTGTGTAAAGAAATGTTGCTACAACGAATTGTCTTAACAGCATATTATCTGAAACACAGCCTATAGTTTAAATACCTACTCCTATTTTATACTAATCCATGTCGAAAGTGTCCGTGTCTCGAACAGCACCGTTGGAATCTTATTTATCTTATCTATATCACGCAGGTTAAGAGCCTTCTCCAGAAAACGTCAGTAGCCTGTGTTTTTAACTATTTTAAAATATGGAAGGTATTGCCACTTTAGTCTGCAAATATTTGTACAGTATTCTCCCTCATCACATTAGTAGAGAGTATGAATAGAAGGAAATGCACGTATCGTCCGCATTTATACTACAAGTAAACTATCACGCTTGTTTAGGATCAAAACAACATTAAATTCTGCTGCCCACAATTTGCATGAAGTAGGAAAGCAGCACTTACCACAATATCATAGCTCTCGATTCTGGCGATAATTCCCTTCAACCGTTCCTTATCTTGACGATGCTTGAGACTAGAATTCACATTATTGACGAACTCATCAACCATTTTGATCTGAAAATAATAAAAATAATTTCAGTTTTGGCATTTACAGGAAATTAATCAATGGGCCCACCATTGTTTGTAAATTTTCCCTCTCAACGTCTTCGTCTGTGTTTTTCAAAATGGCTTTTAAAAGTAAACCATACTTAGTCAGTCTCTGCATGGGTTGAACTAAAATATCCATTAGGCGAAGTCTGCAATTAAGAGAAAATCAATTAGTTAGCTGTTGACACATTTCCTTTTTGCAAAAAAGTGTAAGTTGCTTTCGTAGTTCGACCGATATTGACGTTAATTATGATAGCAGCGGCTAATACCGCCTTTCCTTTTAGTCACTGTTAGAGGGTTCTTTGCACCCATTAATGCCAAAAAGACAGTTTAATATAAAAAAATAAACATTATTGTACTAACAACAAAATTTTATTTTATTAAATAAAAACACATTTCGCTAGATTTCTAAGGTAAAATGCAATGTATCAAAATTTCAATTTTGACAGGTTTGTTAAACAAACTACACTCCTTAAACATAAATGTTTGCAATATTTATTAGGTATACAGGGTGACCAAACACAAAATTTTGACAACACATTTAACTCAAAATCAGCAATTTTTGTCTAATATTTTTTTTTCGAAAACCTCTCAGATTTGAAGATAACATATTTTTTAATTTTTTATTATCCGCCACTGAAATATAAATCAAAACGCTTAGGTCCAGTTGTACCAAATACACGTTCAGTAACGTTTAAGTAACTACCGAACTACAAAAATAGTTGAACCATAGTTTCAAAGTATTTGTTAAGTTAAAGTAACAGTACTTAATCGTTGATATTACTGAAATTTCAAAGACGAAGAAGAACGTGAAGTTGTTTTCTGTATCTTAACGTAATTTGGTAGTCGATCATGACTTGCAGTTGACGATAATTTAAAGACGAGTAAAATTCCAAGAGGCCAAAGGTACTAGTACTAAGACATATTTCATTACAGCCAGTATATGTTGTATCCTCATATTTACTGTTAATTAAGTATAAAAATTTCAATAAAAAAATATAGCAAATTCGAGTTAAAATAACAACGCTAGCTCAAAGCTCCTATTGCTTCATAGCACACCATTACCCCGAGGTAGTCCAGCCTGCGGTGAAGATCCGGAGAGCTGCTATACACAAGCCCTCCAACGAGGCAAAATTAAATTCAAGCTCTAAAGTTTCTATATAAACACCAGCTCACAAAGTTTCCACACAATCTCATAAAATTTCCATACAGACAATCCAAGAAAGCCATACACATATAAACTGTAGTGCCCTAGCCTAGCACTCAAAGACAGTGATAAGAGAACCAGAGTACTGTACTCGTCTGTGCTCCACAAAGCAAAGTATCGTCAAAAACATATAAATTCAACAGGGTTAGTTGAAAGCCTCTAGGAAACTATGCCAGCTTCAGGATGTACCAAAGAGAAAGAAGGCAACTAAACAAAATAGACAGGAATTTACCTCGCCTCCGATAGAGGAAAATGAGGGAGATGTATGTATGTACATATGTATGTATGTCGGAGGGTGGTGAAATTGTTTTTCCACCGCGGCACTTAGGCCTTATGTACATCCTCCTTCATTACTCGAGTACTTTTTAGTTTATGTATGATAGCATGGTCTTGAGTTACAGAGATTTTCTTTGCTCTGTTCTCATTACCATTTATCGGGGACCACACACATGCGGAAAATGTTGCGCGACCCAGGTCTCTGGTAGGCTGTCACAGCTACGTCCCCGAGCCTGCCTTAGGTCACCCATCCAAACTCCAGCCTGCGTCCGTGATACTTACCTCGGCAGATCGAAATCCACCGGCCAAGACACCCGGCTAGGCGGTCCCCTAAATGAGAGAGATGTCCGAACATCCGATTTGCATCTTTGCCAGCGAGCAAGAGATAAGAGTTCCAGTACCGCAGGCAGTATAGGATCTCGGTAAAAACACCGGTTTTGTCCATATTAGGGGCAATTCCAAAGATTAAGGTGATGGAAGACGACATTGTATTAAGTACAAATGACAAACGTTCTACTAACCAAAAAGAAGTATCAACGAATGTTCAAAATGTTTTCCGTTATTTTCAAAACATAATTGTACATAGCGTATTTTTCTTCAATCCTACTAAGTTTTTAAAATTGTTGCTATTATTCTCTATTCGTTCTCGCAGATGCTTAATAGTAACTGGAGTAGAATACACTATCTACTTCAAATTGGACCATTTCGACCAATCCACCGTCCAAGAAAGTGCTGCCTTAAACAATCCCAATTTATTTGTGTATTATGGTAAGGTACCACATGTTACGACGAATTTCCAGCAGAATATCATCCAATAAATTATTTAGCAAATTCCTTAAACAACATAAATACCACCTAACAGATTTGGCATGTGTAAGGTAAAATCATCACAATACCTAGTTACAAAAATGCTGTCGATGATGATAGTCAGCCCTGAAGCAGTAAAAAGAGGACCGTTTGTACATGGTACGGGTATAAATGCATATTGCAAAGTCAGTCTACGGGTGCCAGTTCCAGACTATTCGCAACTCTCTTCAAAAGTGCATCTTCAATGTTTGCAGTACGATTAGGTCACTGTCTGTCGCCATTCCAACGTTCCTGAAAGACTTGAACAAATGTGCCTCTATTCTGTATGCGAAGATTCTGGAAACGACCCGTTATTAATTTTACAACCGCTTGAAGAGCTCCTATGGGTTTTATCATAAGCTAAAATCATATCAACATATTTATTATTTGTATCACGGCTGTTAATACTTTGTCGTGCTTCTTACACTTGACACAGTCTATTAAAAAATTTTCGAAAATTTTTTTTGTTTTTTTTTTGAAAACCTTCCGGACAGTGAAAAAAAAACAAAATCCAATTGTTTCCAGCACGATTCGGCTTTTCCGTCCTATGCTTCAGTTCATCAACTTTTAATTAAATTAAAATTAAAGTTGATTTCGACCCCGATTCATACAGTTTTTTGAGACCAATTTCAAATTAATTTTTGTGCAGTCTGTGATCACTTAAAAAACGTTTGTTCAAAACTACCCTTTTTCTTCTCTGAATTTATTTTTTTTTCAATATAAACGTTATTTGCGGTAAAAATGTGAGATAATTTAAAAAAATATTTTTTCAATTTTAATCATGATTTTGAAGTGTTCAAGCTTAAAAAACGTGATCATTTCTAAAAAACCAAAAATTAGGTACCTTTTTTCCTGTTTTTTAAAATTTGTGTAAAAGATAAAAAAAAATCCGAAAAGTTGCGGCAGCATGTTATAGGAAATTTATTCCAGTTTTCGAAACTGCCCTCGAGATATGATGATTGAAGACAAAAGGATCCTTTTCCATTAAAAGTCCGATATTTCGATGACAAATGGTCGTATCGAAATTAAAAAAAAAAGGAAATTAAAGCTGAATAGACAAGGTATCTGGTCCATGGCTTACCTGGAAAATTTTTTCAAGTCCGTGGAAAAAAAATATTGCAAAGTTTTTTTGTCGCGCCATTTTTAGAATTGCATGATAACAGTAGCTCCTAAAAATTTTCAACTGAAAGATCTAAAAACTAGCATCTTAGAGCTTTAAAATGCTTTTTTTTAATTCCCGATACAACCATTTTTCACCTAAATACAGTCTGTCAAAAGTTCGAAAAATCTTTTCACCCTGTAATTTTTGCCTATTAGCATTATTTTACTGAGTAAAAAATTTTGGATAAACTTGTAAAATTTCGAAAAAAATATTAGACAAGAGCTTTTGTACGGAATAAAATGTAATAGACCTTATACTTAATGTCAATTTAAACGTTTGCCTTCGATTTGCAAATGCATGTGTACCTGATGGGTACCTGTAGTACGTCAAATAAATTTCAAATATTTCCGCGATTAAGTTTAGAAAGGTAAAATTTTCTCCATTGTTACTCTGGTAGTGCGAAAGTAGAAATAACAATGTAAATCCCGTAACACCGTATCGTATATAACAATCTCACTGTACGTGGTGCGTTATCACTGTAATTAATTCTGTTATATCTACTTTAAAAAGAAAGTGGATAATAATATTATGCAATCTCTAAGGCACAATTAGTATAACAATTATTACTTTAATAGTGTTGTTATAACATTAATTCTGTATTGCTCATTTTGTAATAAATTTCTATGTTGAATAAAACATTTTTATATACAATTAAAATCAGCCCTTGATAGAAAATATTCAGTCTGTGCATACCTAAATATAAAGCAAATATTACGATAGCAATAAGCAATCGTGTCTCCTTTACTATTAAATACATATTTATCCATATTAATACATTTATGTTCCTGAAAAATTGTATTGTACACATTTAATGTTATATTACTTAAATTCTTACTAATAATTTTAGTAATTTATTATAAGAAATAGTTTTTACATAAACATTTTCACTTCTTTCAAGGTGATACAAGGTGATCAAATTCCTTTGAAAGAATTTAATTTACTTTCTGGAATAGGTATAAATAATAGAAATGTAATGAATTTCTCATGCCATATGCTACATGTAATCTTTTTTTAATGCCTCATTTTTCCATATTTATCTTTATATAAGAAATCCATTTTATTCGCCGACTGTGGAATACACAATACCTACAAATTTATTCACTTTTTATCAGATAAACGTTATTTTTTGAATATCATATATATTTACTAAACAGTTAGATACCTACAAAGAAAAATATGCGAACGGCGAGATGCTATGTGAAAAAGAGCAGAAGCTGTATGCTCAAGATGGTCGGGTTCCCAAGAAAATATGACGTAAAATCGTAATAAGAATGATATATGGAATATTGTCTTCATTTTAGAACATTGAAATCAGAAAACATTTTTTATTTATATACAAGAATTTATTTTACGCTATTTTCCATTACCAAACAGCGTTAGTTATAACTAAACAGTAATTCTATATCCTCTCATAAATTGACAGTAACAAAATTGCAATAATGGACGAAGGTACTACAATTTCTATGGTTATGGTGTTAATTTTTAACACATTCATTCGTCTCATTTTGTGTCAGTTAGGTCTACTGATAATTAAGTAATTGTGCATTGGTATCAGTGCAGCGAAAACAGAATCCAAATAGGTTTCTATATTTCCAATAAAACAGATATATGTGGAAAATACAGATATTACATTTATTAACATCTATAAAATCTGGATA